CTTTGCACCCACAGGCAAACACACACACACATCTGAAAGGTAAACAAACTTGTCCAGACCAATCAACATGACTGACAGGTTTCAGGTAACAGGGGTCAGATATTATCAGCCTGAATCCCACTTAATGATGTCCGTCTCCACGGTCATGAAGATCCTACCACATGTTTGTGTGTACGTACGTGAGGGTGAAGGAAAGTCTGAGTACCTCACTACCATTCATTAGGCACTGAAGAGGCAGGGGGAGGGCTGAGGAAAGAGGGGTGTAACCTCTCACAGCTGAGGGCGTCATTAGCACGGGGATCACTAACAAATTTTTAAAGCCTGCTTATGTCTCCTCAGAGGGTGTGTGTGTGTGTGTGTGTGTGTGTGTATGATGTGACAAATCCTCCAATTCCAACCTTCAAAACTACTCACCATCACCTTACTGCTATATCAAACTCCTGTAGCTAAACCCGAGTCCATGAGATAGTACTGGCTGTTTCTGGGATAACACAAAGCCGTTTCAAAGTGTCTGTGTGGCTTGAGACGCAGCAGGCAGATCCACAGAGGATCATAAAACATCCAAGTGAAAAAAAAAATTCTCTACCTTTCTATCTGACAGAAAGAGACACCGCAGGGAGAAACCCTGAACGCCCAGCAGAGGAATGCAGCAGCTTCTCTGGCCCAGCCCACACCGCCGGCCCCGAGTCTGACAGCAGTTCTTTAAATCAACAGAACCTGATCCAGAACCAAACAGGAGGAGAGACGACAGACAGAGAAGTTAAGACGGCTCTCACAGACTCTGGACGGGAAGCTGTACTGAGCTGCTGATCCTTGTATTTAGTGCAAAAAGTCACGAAAATTGCTGATAGGACACCTTGTTGTATATTTTTGTCTGTTAAAAAGAGGGTTCAGTGAGGTGAGCCTGCTCTCGGTGAGAAAACGAGAAGCGTAAGGGAGTGGAGAGGACATGAGCAGGCAGAAAGTTTTAGGCATTACTCATGAATTTACACGGGATTAAAGAGGGTTAAACTGTGAGAACAGAAACAGGCAAAAATACACATCAAATGAATACACAAGACCTTTGGTTTTAGTTGTTTTTCCAACTTAGAGCCTCCACACATCCGACTCATGTGTGTTCTGCTGCACTTTCAAATGTGACTGCACTCATAAAAAGCGAGAAGAAAACACAGTAAGTAGGGTGAAGACGAGTATGAGCTCTACAGTTAAAAAAATATAATAAAATATGATGCATTTAAATAATTTATTTTTTAGTTTTGACCTTCTTTTTTTAAAAACATTTAGTCAGTGACAGAAACCAAACATCTGTGGTAAAATAACTGATTTTAAGACTAAATCCTACAGAAAGATTAACCTTAAATGACACTGCAAAATAAAGTATCTGAGTTAGCAGTGACAAACTCTGAATCTATTTGAGTCACAGCCAAATGGATCATGGATAATTCTGAACATAAGTATGTTGTGTTACAGGATGTGGAACTATTTTCTTGAAAAAAAAAAAAAAAAAATCTCCATGAAGCTCCCACGAGGAAAAACTTTTCTTCTGGATTTTTAGCAGACAGGGTAAACGAGTTTGGGGTACAAGGACCGGCATCCAAAAATTTATAGCCACCTATGTCACGCTGTGATCTGTTTTCAAATACAACAAATATTTCCCCTACATGTGCTGTCAAGATGAGCTTGAGGGAGAGAGAGCGAAAAAGATGGATGATATCCTCGGACCTGCGATGGCGGGCAGACTAACAAATTCCTTTAACAGTGGATGAAAGCTATCAAGTAGCAGGATTACAGCGATAATACAGACATGTGAGAAATGCTGAACTTCCCAAAGTGTGGTGTTTTCAGGAAGCGGTTGGACTGGAGGGCTGCCCTACGGAACATTTCCCATGGACATAAGCACAACCCAGACCGCAGCTTGAGAGGCAGGTGAGCCGTTTCTGGGTATGAGAGGAAGTAACTCGTTCAGAGGCATGGAAGGATTTAAGGAGAAGAGAGGTGAACGCTCCTTTAAAACCCTTTGAAGGTTGGCTGCGGTAGGCAGAGCCGCGGTTTTCCCAAAAAGCCCCCCTAACAGGAAAAACGGTCTCTTTTTCTCTCTTTTTTTTCCATTGCATAAGAGCAACCTCTACCCCACCACAGCCAAAAGCACGGACCTACTTTGAACTCCAAGGGGGGTGCAAATCGTTTTATTAAGTCCTTGAAATACTCCGAAGGTTGCGTTCATCAAACACACTCCTTGACAAACAAGTCGTATTTACAAGACACTTTATCGGATGCCAAAGCTTGTGACTCAGACAAGCCTGCTTCACCTCTTCCTGTTCTTTCCTCTCCATCTTTATTCATTCTCCCTTGAGGGCGATGTTACTACACTCCAGGGGGATTTCTGTGGGGGAGTTGCCCACAGGTCAGAGGTCAGAGTGTAAAGGCACTAACACTTTTCCATCACTATGGATGTGTCTGTGTGTATCCAAGTCAGATAAGTATACTGATAGGAAATAAGTGGGGCCAGATATACACATGTGGACCTCACACACACGCATGTATACACATCACTCTGCATCTGGATGAAATCTGCAGCTAGCAAACGCAGGCCTAGCATGGTGCAGGAAGTGGTGGGATAAAATGTGAATCTCTGCCTCTGGGTCCTCTTCCCACAGCGAGAGCCATCTTGGGTATCACGCTGATGAATGATGGGTATTTTAACAGAGAAGGTAAGCAAGTACAAACACCTAATTTGTCACTCAGAGAGATATCACACAGGCAATTCAGTCAGCAGTCAAGATAGTATTTCAACTTCATTCTCACCTCTGAAGTGGAGACAGATGCTGCCTGAGTGAGTGCATGTAATGTGGGTACTCTGTCACACCACATTCAGCTCATGGGCTGCATATAAATGCAAGGTTGGAAACATAATATATCAATCCTTCATGGATTGAAATCAAACTCTAATTCTTGGATCTTGTGTTTTATATCCCTGTAGCTACCAGAGTCTGATATGGTAGCTCCTGACAAACAGCTGCATCGTGAGTTCAATGATAGCCTCTCCCACAGAATCGTGGTTGAGCAGACCTTATTAATTAATCAGCCTGCACCGTTTATTCGAATGCTCGACTCAAGGGGGATGAAGTTACACACAGCAAAAACAGAGCAGTGTATGCGACTAGGAGAAACAGATATAGCATTACTTTCCCACTCTCGTCAAACTGCTGAAGCCACAGAAGGAAAAATATAGTGGAAGTGTTGACTTTACTCGCTCAGGTGGACGGAGCCAAGATCCAGAGGAATCCTGCTCTTCAAGGCAGAAGAAAACAGTCTGCTTATGTTACTGCAGCTTTAACCATCTCCATCCAGCTGCACTTTAAGGAGTTAATAAAAATCTGCACTATGTTGCTCTGGATTAGCCTCCACATCATGTGCCTTCAGCTGCTCCTGGCTCTACCTCCCTCGCTCTGTCACTGATGGAAGCAGGGTGTGATGCAATTAAATAATGATGATTAATTTGCGAAAACAGGGAAGCGGTGGCTGCACTCCAGATGAACAGCCCTTCGCTTCAGATGCATTCAACTCCCCCTGCTTTCCTCTGGCTTTGACTTGACATTTCACATTCTTTCTGACCTTGGCGAGCGGCGAGGTTTCAGAGGCCCTCATCGTGCACCGATTCCAGGCGTTTGCGGCGAGAGTGAGAAGTAGGTCAAGTGGCTGACACCGTTTCAGAGCGCAATAGGGGGATACTTTAAGTCTATTGAAGCAGTTAAGATAAGCCATCGGTATGGGATTCTCGCTTTCGCTTCCAGGCTTGTACCTGCTTGAGAGCAGAGGAGTGGATGAGCTCGGGGAGGGTGAACCTCATCAGTATTGTCAAGGCTATTGTTTCACATCACACCCTGACAGGAAGTGGACTTAAGTGCAAAAATGTATTATCATCATTTGCTATTTAGAGTTTAGAGCACAGGTATCAAATTAATTTTACATCACGGACCACATACACGTTACTTTGATCTTATGTGGGCAGTACCAGTGAAACTCCCCTTTCTGTCAGTGTGCAGAAGCTTAACTACACATTTAAACCCAGAGAGATTTTAATAAAGATTTTAATTTCAAAAAAGAAAGTCAAATTTCAACAGCATTTCTAAATGATAAAGAAATGCTGCTGCAGTAAATGTATGAAATCTGTCAGCACGACTCTTTGGGCTTAAATTCTGTGTAGCAGTAATGTTTAAAATGATAGAAATCTATTATTTATTTACTTTGGTGTAGTATGAATGGTAATGGGGAAGGTCTGGATCAGTAAAAAAAACTTGTAAAAGGACGGTTAAAAGTCATATATTTATGTCCTCCTACACATTTTCCATCAAGTGGGCCGGATGGGAGTCTTGGGCGGCCGATTCTTGCCCCTGGGACTTATGTTTGCCAACCCTGATTTAGACAGATTTTTCTGACCTTTAATAATAAAGACAAGTTATTTCTCCAAACGAGCTACTGTGTCTTAATTTAAACATTTTAATGCATAAATGTCCCTTTTTTAACCACAAGTTGCACGTGGTGGCGTCGAACGGAAAAGGGGGTAATATTAGAATGCACCGATTACGCGCCAGTGCCCGAACCTGGAAGCTGTTGCATGCAAGCTGGCTTTCATATAGCTCACCTCTTGCACCTCGGTACGGGCTGACATTGTAGTTTTTCCTTTGCGGCGACACGTGGGCCAGGTGTAAACCGTGGAGGCTGACACCTGTTCGTGATGTCCGCCGCTCTGATCCAGCGCGTCCCGGTGATTCAGCAACCCGAAACTTACACGACCTCAGTCTGTAATGCGGTAATAACAGTCATTGCCTGCGTTTAAAACAAATAGCAGGTTTGAACAGCCCGTCACAGCAAGCGCCGTGAGTCACTTACTAGGAAAATAAGCGGTGCGTAAAATTGAGATCTGCTCTCCGCAAAGACGCGCACACGCCGGGTGTGTGGAACAAACAGGCACGGTGAGCCTCAAATTATAAACTTACCCCAGTGTCACAAGACGTCAGAGCCGCTGACTTTGTACTTTTAAAAGACGTCCTACAAGCGAGAGATCCACCTTAGTATCAAGCTTCGTGCTCCGTCAAAAACCGTCCTCTCCAAACGAGGGGGAAAAGTGACGCGTACTTTCTCACGTTCGTCTCCTTTTAAAAATAGTTAAGCACAAGTGAGAAGATACCGGCGGGAGGAGAGATGAACCACCGAACCCATCCGCGTCCGAAGCTCAGAGCGACTGAAGAGCGTCCAGTACATCCATATGTAAAGAGAGCCCGGGTTAGGCTACTCCCCGTTAAAATCAACCCCAGATTTCCCCCAAAACCGAGAGAAAAAGAGCGCACCCGAGAGAGAGAGTGAGGGTGAGAGAGAGAGTGAGGGTGGGTGAGAGAGAGAGAGAGAGAGAGAATCTGCATATCCAATAGCGCACAGTATTTGGATAACTTAAGTTTCATTTTTCCTGTAATTTGAAGAGGCGCCCAATTAATAAAAGAAATAAATATGCGCGAAGAAAAACACTACTTATATGATTTCATTCCGCGGTCTCACTTTTACAACAAATACATCTCCGCCACTTTACGGACCGACAGTTACTCTGCTGCCTGCTCTAAACGCTACGTGCTGGGCTGTGTTCACAGGCAGCCATATGGAGGTCGTAATGAGCGCACAACGCTGAACCTGTTGAAACAGAGTCCGGGGTTAGCGGGGGCCAAACAAACAAGAGGCAGATGCAGAATGTTGTGACTTATTAATCCCAATAATAGTCCAGCACACGCGGGATTTATTTGCGTCGAGGCACCGACTTTTCCCCCTTTATTAATAATAGTAACATGGAATCAAACACACCAAGACTGCCTGTTGTGCGCTTGTGTAAAAAGAGGCTCGTTCTGGCAGAGAAAATGTGGACCTGCGCCCTCGGCTATGACAGCATCGCATTAACTCATTAACTGCCTTCATGTGACTTTAAAGAGCATGCGGTCTGTCGTGATGAGTGCTGGCAATTTTATACAGCCCGTCTGGGGAGCGCGTGCCCAAAGGCGCACTGGGGAAGCAAACGGATTTTCGGGGATTTGAGAATTAAAGCAGGTATCTCAGACGTAGGTAACGGCAATTAGAGCCGCTGACGTTTATCACAAAACGACCAAATAAAATAGGCCGTGTGGGGACTTCTGGGCAGAGTTCATTTAATGTAAGCACAGAGGATAACTTGTTACACGTGTAAAACCAGCCCGGCAGAACCGCGAGGACGGGCCGCAGTTCACTTCATAATTCCAGGTAATTTATAGGCGACAGCTCGCGTGTTGCTCTCCGTGTTATTGCAGGTGCAGCCTGCCTACCGGTGGATAGGCCGGTCATTAGCATCGCGGTCGATCAAATCCCGAGAACCTCCTGGCCCGCTGTAAGCTGATCAACATTCCTCCTGTAGGCTATTTACAGTACCATCCTCTGGGGGGAACAGCACAGCACGGCATGGCTCGGCCCGGGCCCGGAACCGCGCTGCCTTCATCCAGTAATTCATCTCAAACAAAGACCGTTCAAACACGAATTCAAAGCCGCAGATAATTAAAATTAATAGGCATTAACCCCCAACCCTGTGCGCGTGCGTTACGCCCACGGAGCACACCTGCAGCCAATACTAATTAACAGTATCAGTGAACACAATGAGACACGGAGAGTGGGGGAAAGGAAATTACTCAAATCAGTTAATGGATTTAAACACAAAGGGGAAAACGGCTCAGAAAGTGGGCTAAAATTAATGAAGTCTGATGAAAGTAAGTGACGAGCAAGGGCAAGCATACAGGGGAGCCGTGGAGTGGAGACAGAATATCGGGATTTTTCGATTTGCTTCCAGAAAACCTAAAACACAAAGGTTTATCTGACTCCTTTTGTTCAGCGATGAATACTTTATTTATTTATATAAGAGCAATTTAGTTCTTAATCTCAGGTGGTTTGTCTCCACTCTCTTTCCAAATAACTCCCCAAGAGTTAAGCTTCTAAATGGGATCTTGTAGTAAATCTTAATATTTCGGATGCATTTCTATCCCAGTCTTATTAAAATCTCTGATTTGCAGATTAAACATCGATACAGGCGCTTCAAATATTCCTCAGTGTTTTGAATTAAAATACTTGAGTTTAGTGCTAAACGTTTGAGAAAGTAGGGCAGCAAATGGAGAGAAGCTGACACAAACACAGCAGGCCTTCATCAATTGATCCAACAAACTGTCTGAAACACAAAATACTCAAACTCTCTGGTTTGTTAAAAGGAAAAAAAACAAGCAGGGGCATTTTGCTGCCAGCGTTTCTGTTTACACGGGGCAGTACAGTCCATGTTCACGCGTTTTATTTGAGAGAGGGGACAATTTTGACGCATTCCTGTGAAATAAAGGAGCTCCACCATCCAGCCAGTAATCTAGGTAGATTATCTCTGCAGTTACAAGTGGGAGAGGCTGGACTGCGTTAAAGACAGAATGAAAGAAAGCAAGACTAACAACAGGCAACACACTCACTTGCTGTCAGATGGGATTCAAGCGGGGAGCTCTCCTCGGTCCTTTAGTTGTTGCACTTGGATCAGTCTGCTGATTGTGTCTGCAAAACAACCCCGTCTGTCTGTTCCAAGCCCGGGGGCTCTCGGCACTAGGTTCCCTGTGGCGGACACCCTGGAGAAAATGTCAGCCTCCGACTGTTTCCTCGCTTCATTTTTTGGCACCCCTGCTGTCGGGCGCAAGGAGAGATGCTTACCTTATCCAGAGGGGAAACCCCCAATTGGCTTTCAGTGGAGACGGGCCTCCCTCTTGTGGCGAATACCGTGTAATACTCAGACTAATAACCTGTGCCTTAAAAAAAAAAAAAAAAAAATCTGCCACATGCCCCAAAGTACATAAACGCAACTCACACTTAGGTGGCGCTATAGTACTGAACATTTTCCAGTGTCGGCTCTGCATTACCTCAGAGCAAGAGCAGAGGGGAAATCTTTGCTAGGTTAGGCCCCACAAAGCTTTATCATTCTGCTGGATACACAAGAAGATGATGATTTATAAAAATGAACATAATGTTGTATTTATTAATACTTTAGATTTAAATATAGGACATAGGAAACTGTTTACTAAGGACCTGAGGAGTTCACCCCTGCTGGCCTATAGAAGGAAATGTGGGCGTAAGAAACTTTTTAACATGCAGAACTTATGAGCTGTCGCTGGCATTTTAATATCTGTAGAACCCACAGACTGTATTTTAAAGATGCACAAAGGCACTGTGATGTCACCCACTCAATTTTTTGCTGATATTTTGAAACCCTCAGTTTGGCATTTTGGTTTCTACAATTGTTTTTGTTTGTTTGTTTGTTTGTTTTAAACAAGAATGTTAAAAGAAATGATCATATCTGAAAAAGAAGGATGCTATCAGCTAACATTAGTTCTAGCTATCCAGAGTGGTTAATAACTGGGATGTGTATTGTACTGTGACAATAAATGGGATGCTAATTTTCTGAGCAAAAACAGGATGTAAATGTTTAGACTGTGTTTAAACTGTGTCAGTACCTTTAAGGCTACAGACACAAATTGGTTGGAGAGTGCAGCATGACTAAAATTAGCTCAACCGTGTGTACTTGAACTTCGGATCGAGTTGCCTTTCAAATGGTTGTTTCTAAGACAGGATTCTGGGAGGTTTAATGCACAGCAACTTAAGAAAGCACCAGCAAATAGAAAAAATGCCACAAAAGCACACAAAGCACAGCAAAAGTTGAATGAAACACAATGGAAATGGGAAAAAATGAAACACAAAAACGTCTTTTGGGGAGACAATGATGTGATGAAACAGAAACCAAAGCATGTGAAGGATTGCACTCAGGCGCACTTAAAAGAAGCTGAGGATTCATCTGAACTGTGAGCAGGAACAGACATAAGATAACGTGTGCTTTAATCGCATCAGTCATATAATACTATAGATACATGTGTGCTATTAGGCAGTGCATTTGACCTCTCAGGGCCACCGTAGAATCCAGGTCTGCAACCACTCGCAGTCAGTTGCTGTCTTCAAATGGACTTTCATGCATCAAGATGGAAATAAAATGGGGATAACGCACAGTCAGCTCAGGTTTCAAATTAGATGCAATCTGTTTGTGTTAATGGAGTGAATCTGCGATAAATAAGCAAAAACTGCAAATCTGTTGCCATCAACATACTCAATAACCTTGTACACTTGATTCAGTTATATAAATAGTGACATAGATGCTACAGGTTGTCAATTTAAATGCAAAATGAAATAGCAACGTAGGAATATAACCAGAATACACAATGCAACCAGCTGAAAACCAGTTGAGATGAGTCCCTTATTGCTAAAACATGCATCAACTCAGACAACTGCAATCAAAACTATCGCATCTATTTGTAGATGGTTGCCAAATGTGAGAATATCCAATGCAAACACAGTAAAACCACCAATTTTTCCGAGTTGCAAGGATGTTGATGTCCTGTTTTCACTCTGAAATAACTTAGCCAAAACGTAGTGCTGAACAAGATAACATAGCACCCAAGTTTCACTCAAAGCCTTAATAAAGTTAAACAGGCAAGTTAAATAAAAACACGCTACTCCTGAAGCTAGCGTCAAGCCTTTTAACTTCATTTTTTAGCCCAAAAGGTTGTTGCTTGGCTGAGTTTTCAGTCTCTCAGGAAGTGTTGGCTCACATTTGTCTATATAACCTTTAAATACTTAAATTATTAAGCATAATTAGCTCACGTGGAAGTGAATGGAGCAGAACCTTAAACAGATTATGCCCCTTATCTAGACTTCCAGCAATCACAACTGTTGTTAAACAATAATGTGGAGCAATTAGGGTCAAAAATAAAAAAAAAAAATAAACAACTCGAGCCCCTTTTAGCACACCCCCAATTACAACAGCAGCCTCTTGGGGAACCCCGCATGTTTACTTTCCCTCTGCCAGCTCAACTGGAGTCAAGACGGCAGCATCGTGGTATACATCTCGCACACTCACTTGCCCAGGGCTCAGCTGTCACTTCAAGACCCGAAGACCTAAGTGGGAACGGAAGTGATATTAATGGGTATAATACCATCATGTCCTTGTCCACTGTGTGTGCATGAGTGCAGGCCCTCTCTTTGCCCATGTGACACATAGTGCTTGGGGTGTGAATATCAACATGTCAACATTAAGGAAAGAGAGCTATCAATAGCTCTTCTACCGGTATTATTGTCCCATCCATCATTTTGACGTTACGCCGCCGAAGGTGGCCTCTTCCGAGCTCACACTGATGACTCAACCATAGAGAGTTTTTAAATGAGGATACCTTGAGGTCG